CGCCGCCATGAACTGGCCCAAAGCAGCGACAGTGCTACCGGACGTTTCCGCCACTCTGCTCCCGTCCCCCTGGTCCCCTGTCAGGCGCGAAGTTTTACGCAGCGGCCACGCCGCAGCCTTGCCCGACAGCTCATCCATGCGTGAGCAAGGGGCCGGTGCTCCTTCCGGGAACGCAAGAATGAGAAGCTCACGGGGCAACTCCTCAACCAACGCAGGTAGCACCTGCAAATAGTTAGGAGGCTGCGGGTGCGAGGCGAGCAGCTTCTTGATCTTAAGCCGATTCTGGGTCAGCAGCTCAAACATCTGACTGGAAGATGGCTGCTGAGAGCCCACACACCACACCGTTGCAAGCATGATGGCTAGCGTGCCCTCCGTGGGATGCCTTAGGCCCAGCTTAGCAGAATGGTGCGTCAGTCGCTCAAGAGCTGCCGCGCGTTCTTGCTGCTCATCGAGCAAGACTGCCCACAGCTCTTGGCTGAGATACCGTGGCAGGCAGCGATAATCCTGCATGGCTTTGCGGGATGCCGAACCTTCCCCATCCTGCTCCACCATGGAAGACACTTGCACCTTCACGCCCTCCATCAAGTGGACTTTCCCAGAGGCCTTCTTTAGTGCGAACATGAAGCCAGTTGCCTCCACAGCACATCCTTCAGGAGACCAGAATAGCAACTGCTGGCTCCCCGCATCTTTATATGTGCCCTGAATGCATAGTTTCGGAAAACCCTTCAAAAACTTCTGCGAGGCACTCAACTGCTTGAGTAACTTCGACGCCATCGACTTTGCAAACCTGGGCTCCCTATTTCAAAATCGCCGCTTGGGTTGAGCCAAGAAGCGGCCAAAGAACACTTGACGACAAAGAGCTTTGGCGCGTTTTCATAACAAATTGCATGTCCAAAATGCAATTCAGCAACCAAGACGACAAATGTAGTGTAAACCATAACTTCCTAAGTTGCGCGTAAGTTTTCGTAACTTCTTGTAACTTCACAAGGCATGAAGTGCTTAACTAAGTTAGAAGTTACTAAGTTCACAGTAACTTACCTAGGCCAAAGTGTTCAAGTTATAGACAAGTTACGAAGTTATGTTGAAGTTGACAAGTTATAACTAGTTTATAACTAACTTATCAAACTTATAAACCACTTATAAGTCCTTAAGTTGCCCGAGCATACGTAGTAGGGAACCACCTGAAAAGTGGTTGGACATGAATCCCCACCTCAATTTCATGTCCACCTCAATTTGATGCCCCTTGTGAAGTATGGCACCCACATGGGCTGTGTGTTTTCCACTTTTCCGGCTGTTTTTTTCAGGTAACTCTTAATCGGTGTTTTGGATTGGTGAATTGGGAACTTGAACCCCTGGTTCTTGTAAAGGGTAAATATGAACTCCTCACAAACTACCAAACCACCGCTTCGGCTCCACACCAATTTGTGGGAAGCTTTTTTTTGTTTCTCCGGCGAGGTGAACAAAGACACGCTCATGGGGGAGCTGAGCAAGCCGAAGCTCAGCGCGGGGGTGATGGTCCTGGAGCCGGACAGCGCCAAGTTTCAGGAGGTCGATGCGCCAAGTTTCAGCAGAATCCCTTTCGGGGGGGGGGGGGGGGTAGAGGGAGGGGCATGCCGGCTGTGTTTGGGAATCCCATTCACATTAGCATTATTTGTTTGTTATGATTATTATTATTTTGTTATTTTTACCCATGTCATTATTTCCATCACCATAACTACTGTTTTGTTGATCGCATGGAGTGGATTTGGGAAATGTGGGAATAGGTAGGTGGAGAGAGGAATAGATAAATAGATTTGATTAGATTGGATTGGATTAGATAGACAGATAGATAGATACAGAGATAGATAGATCGATAGATGAATAGATAGATGGATAGACAGATAGATAGATAGATAGATGGATAGATACATCGATATGTAAATAGAAAGAAACCAGCCAGAAGGAAAAGAGAGAAATAAAGAAAGAGATAAACACGGACATGAATAAGGAAATAGATAAACATAAGGAACTGCATAAACAACAACATAATTAAGTACAGAAAGAACAAGCAAATTCACATTGCATGGCATGACATAGCAGAAACAAAGGGCAGAAAGAAAGACAGACGAAACGTGCCCAGAAAGTTACTGTATTCTATGATTCTCCTCATGCGGTAATGTGCTGTTCGGTTTGATAGTGCCTCATCTCATGTAATTTGTGTCCTTTTATCTTCCCCAGAACTAGCTCCCAGTTGCTTTTTTTTTTTTTGATTTTTTGGTTGGTCTCTTTGTTGTCCACCAACCAGGCAAAAAAACAACAAGCCTTTTGTTTGCTGGGGTCAACTAGTTGCAGCCTAGTCATAGGGCACCAAGAAATTTGAAGGCTCATTGCCCTCCGGAAGGGGACCACCGCAAATAAAGTTCGTCTCCCCCCCAAACAGAAATTTATTGGGAAAGACTCAACTACCTAGGGGTTGATTCCCTTTACAAGAACCAGGGGTTCAAGTCCCCAATCCACCAATCCAAAACACCGATGAAGAGTTACCTGAAAAAAACAGCCGAAAAAGTGGAAAACACATAGCCCATGTGGGTGTCAAACTTCACAAGGGACATCAAATTGAGGTGGACATGAAATTGAGGTAGGCAAAAACTGTGGGGGTTCATGTCCACCAACCACTTGTCTAGGGGTTGATTCCTTTTCCGTTCTTTTCAAGCATCGTTCTTTTCAATAATCGGAGCTGTTTCCCCCGGGTTTTTGATGGTTTCCTGAAAAGATTCGGATCCCTGGAAAGAATGGGGAAGGTACCCCTAGAAACTACCTAGAGTCTCCTTCTGACTCGAATGAAAAATGGTTGGTCATTACCTTAAATAATGGTTGGTCATGGGCCTATTTTTGATTCGGGTCATGGAGACTCCAGGTAGACGATTTTGGGAGGTGTGTTTGGGGGGGGTGGTGTGGTTCTTCAAGGAACAGTTCTCTGAAACAGGCACCGATCAAAGTGCAGCTGATTCTTTCTGGCCAACGCAGGTCATGGCCAGCCAAGTGTCTGCCACATCCGAGACTTGGCAACTTCCTATGGATTCCAACATGAGCGTTGGGTCTGCGTCAGTCGAAAGCAACGCTGCACCATTTTTTGGCATCCGGTTCCTTGCTCTTTTGCTTGAAGGTTTGTAGGTCGTTTCGTGGGTAAGTTTCCATTTAACCCACCAAAGTCAAACTTTGAGCAGGAAATCAGCAAACGGACCGCCCAGTTTGTTGGTGTCGGCACAAACCCAGCGTGCGGCAGCCAAGCTCCCTTTCTGCTTGGGTTCCGTTTCGGGCCCAAAAGGGTGTCTCACTTGAGCTCCGTTTCGGGCTTTCCTCAGCCCCCAAACAGGGGGCCCTCACTTCCTGAGCTTAACTTTGGTCACCTTTTTGGTCGCCATCTCGGTGGCAGGCCAAGAGTCTAGGCCTCTTCTTTTTTTTCATCCAATCTACTCAGGATGCGAGGTGTGTTTTTTTTCTAGCAGTGACTTGGATGTACGGCCAAGTTAGTAAGGGGCCAACGCCAGCTGGGTAAGCTCCTAATGACTGGTTGTTAACCCCACTAGTGCGAGGCGAAGTAAACTTGCTAACTTGGCGAAGCGAACACTCAAGTAGGCAACTGGGCCAACTGGGCTGAGTAAAATGGAAAAAAAGGTGGTGATGGCGATGGACACTCAGCCTTTCCACATCAAGCTGTCTATGGGTTTATGTAAGACGGGGTGTCCGAATATGGGGGATGCCGATTGATTTTTTTGCAGGGAAACCTATCGGAGAGAATGCAGTTTTAGCACAAGAAACGACCTTGTTGGTTTGTGTTTGCGCCAACGAATCTGCGCATTCCAAATTACTCACGGTTTGCTGCCACCTTTGGTTGGTCATTTGTTTGTCATATTTGACTCGGTCCTGCAGGGATGAGCAAATGAGATGGGGATGGTCTACTAGGTCCCCCAGCTAGGTGCCCTTTTACCGGGGAGGGTTCCCCTACTAAAATAGACTACAGAAAAAAGTTGGTACCCTTATCCTAACCTCTCTACTTGGAGGTTTGCCAGCCTCGCCTGCCCGCAGAGCTCGTTTGCCCTGGAGGGAAGAAGGGTGTAGCGGCGTACCGGGCATTTTTCTGCAGAGCTCTGAATTGAAATCTTGAAACTTCCAAACCCATGGTTTCAGCTTTTCCCGTACCTAGAGTCTCCTTCTAACCCACATACCCTCCTAACCCCGAAAAGCAATTTTCCTTACCCTTGAAACAGGAGACTCCTTCTGAGCCTTTAAACATGGTTGGTTATTACCCCCTTCTTCATGGGATTATGGACCTATTTTTGATTCGGGTCAGAAGGAGACTCCAGGTACTGCCGATCTACTGCCCTGCTCGTAGCACTGGGAATCTCAAACGGCGAGAACCTGGCTGGTGGATCTTAGTGCTCATGGACCCTCCTAGGGAGGGTCCGACCCCTCTTAGGGACAGCCCATCAAACAGCCCCATTTTGAAGGCCCTGGCACTAGTCGTGAGCCTTTGGGTTGTACAACTCTGTCATCCACACATACGGGGATTATCAACAAAGGCTCCTTGCCCATTGAGCCTGGTGAAAAAGGGCGCTGGGACCCAACAAGGTCCAGAAACCATGTACATGGAACAAGACTGAAAAGCCAAACAGTACTCAGTGTTGTTCAATGCAAACTTGGGACTCGCAAGGACTTTATCGAGCAGGATCTGCTGGACGCCTACTTCAACCACAGCTGCTCAGTTGTACTGCGTGGCACTTTTGACGTTTTCTTTGGTTGCACCAGCTGATCATGCCCAAGAGATACGCGCGGGTGCGTTGTTTCCTGATGTCTTGTTCCATCGGCAACTTACCATGCCGCGTGTTTGTGTGTGTGTGTGTGTCTTTGTGTATGTGTGGTTGTGTGTGTTTGTGTGTGTTTCTTTGTGTTTGTGTATGTGTTGGTTGTGTATGTGCTTGTGTTTGTTTGTGCGTGTTTGTGTGTTTTCGTGCGTGCGGGAGGCTACAACATCATTCCATTGACATACAACCTCTACCCGGAGCTCCTGGACTTAATGCCTTTCTTGATCTCGGAGGACGAGGATGCCCAGCCTCCCCTGGTCACCGGCATCAAGGCGGGAGATGGAAGAAGGATTACCCACTGTTACCTGTACTCCCACGAACATGGCACCTGACAGGGACTTTGGTCCCTTCAAGACGAAATGGATCTTCCAGGTAGCCTCCCACAGGCGCTATGTTCGTGCTACTGTGGATGGACGAAATCCGTGCAACGCGCCACGTGGAAACCATGGTTGAAACCATTGCTTGTCGGTGTTTGCAGCAGAATCGACTCATTCCAGGGATTCTTGGGTGCTGCGAAATGGATTTCGGGCTCAGAAAATCTTCCACAATGGCACCTTGGTAAATGCCACCAAACAGTAAAACCTTGGTAACCCTAGCTCTCCAAGTTTGAAGCATGTTTTGGGCTTGTTAGTTGCAGGAAGGCTGCAGCATTGTTCCACTCGCGCCGTGTTTCTTTTCTTTTGGGGGGGACGCAGGCCCCGGGGCTGGCCCGTGGCCTGGCCCCCGTTTGCAGATTTTACATC